ACAGAGAGAGAGAGAAAGCGAGAAATCACCCCCCAGGTGGGATGGCCACACTGCAATCCCTTTTCCTCCATTCTCCACTCGGGATCTTGGGCATGCATGCACACGCACCCGGTGTGAGTTTAAGCCACCGGTCCGAGACTCGAACTGCAGTCAACCACATGGGAGTCCTGCAACATAGACATTATGCTAACTGCTGGTTCCTCTTTGGTCAAATTTAAAAAATAATAAAAAAGGTCCAGCAGATGACATAGCAGTTACATCAGTAGAATGCCATGAAGGGATTGCAGTATGGCCATCATCTCTGGGGGGGGTGATTTCTTACTTTCTCTCTGTTTCTCTCTCCCTGGTGAGCACAAGTGTCCTAAGGCAAAAACCTCTTTAAAAATAAATTAAATTAATAATTCTAAAAAAAAGAAAGATAATAAAGACTATCGTGGTATCTGCCCTCAAAATTCTTGTCCTTAAATTGATAATCATCTATCTGGTGAAGTACTTGTGAATAAAATGCATATGAAAACTATAGAAAATATAGACAAGGGCAGGAGAGATGATTGACATTTATCTGAAATTACAAAGAAAGTGCCAAATAGACTAAAATACATATTATTCTTTCTTTCCAATTACCTCAGTTAATTAAAGTAAGGTGTTGATAAGGACAAATTATTAATATAATGGAATTAGAATTAACTAAGACTCAGAAGACCTGAATTCCAGGTTCAGTGCTACAATTAACTAGTTGTTTGATATGAGTAATGGAATCATTCTTGTCACTCTCAAAAGCAGTTCAAAATTTATTAGGATTATACATAACACTAGGCAAAACCATACAAAAATATGGTTTGAGCAACTCCTTGGTCAGGGAGTTGAGATGACTCATTATGCCTTTATTTCTTTTTCAGAACACAAAAAGTTCAGAGATAGTATTCTTTCAATGAGGGAGCAATTTCTTCATCTTTACTTAGATTTTTCATAAAGGATAGTCCACTATTATGTGTGTGTGGCAAGGGAAAACTACTTAACCTCCCTAAATTTCAAGTTTCTCATTGGAAAAATATATATGTGGATGTGGGAGAAAATATATATGTGGATGTGGGATGTGGACTAAATTATATTTATAAATTTAACAGATTGCTTGGTACATTTAGTAAGTGTTCATTAAATACCTCTAGGGGCACTAGAGTACTACTATAGACTAGTTGATTCAAATACCAGATTTCCTACCCAATTGCTGCATGATCTTGAGTAAATTATTTAACCTTGCTAAACTTACATTTTCTCTTCTGCAGGGTAAGGATGATGGCATCTGTTGTATATATAAAATACAACATGGAATCAAGACAGAAAATAGTCTTTGCTCTCATAGATCTTATATACTAATTGGGAAGAGTGACATCATATAAGCAAATAATATCAGCTATAAGTGCCATACAGAAACTCGAGCAATTTGAGGGACTCAAGAGAGAATATAGGGGCAGGAAGCATGCTCTTTTACTTAGGAAAATTGGAAAGGCTTGTTCTCTAAAGATGTGGCACTTGTCAGAGATCCAAAAGACACAAAAGCAGAGTCATGAAAAGAACTGATGGGAAGAACATTTCAAGCAAAGAGAGGAGGAAGCATAATGTTTCTAATAAGGAAAGAATGGTCTTACAATTTTCTAGGAAGAGCAAAGACATCAATGTTGCAAAAAAAAAATAGCAAATGAGTAGGCAAAGAGATGAGATGAGATAGGTAGGCAATGGCGGATCACGTTGGGTTGTATCAAATATTAGCTATTATCATTGTTATTATTGTTAAGCTCCAGGGGTTTTGATTATTGAAGTAATGCTTTATCCTATTTAGTAAATCCTTTTAAAATCCCACAAAGCAATAACTTATGATAATAATAATAGTGATAATAGCTGACCTTTTTGTAAGTGATTTTCACATACATGATCTCATTTACTCTTTACAATGACCCTGTAAGTTACATAATTTTTAGTATCTTTCCTTTGAGGAGACAGGTTCACAGAAGGTAAAGTCCTTGCACTCATACAGCAAAATCTGCGGGAGGCATGGGGCTCAATGTCTGACTCTAGATCTTAGCTTTAGTTACATTATACCTAACTGTAATGTTAGCCAGTTAACAAAGTGAGGATCTGATTTAGCAAGGAAATAGAGATCAGTTCCACAGTTTATAATAGAACTCAGGATCCTGATTTCATTTCCTGAATATAATCAGTAACTGGATTCACAACACCCATTTGTTATTGAAGGAATAACTATTGGTTCTCAGTATTTGTGAATTTCATGAATAAAATTGCAACATAGAAGGGTAACTTTGAAGAATCAGTACAAATTCATAATACTTGGACACTGCTCTTTGTATGAGAAGTTTCTGTAAGAAGTGTGTATTGCTTACTCTCACCCTCTGGTGTTTTCTATTAGCTCAAGGGTAAGTTAGACTTATAAGGGACAACATCTGAATTTGATTGAACAAAAAGATAATCTCATTTAAGAAGAATAATACATTTCAAACACAGAGATGCAGGAGCTTGGAGCCAATCCATTCTTTATATAACATATATTAAGATGTATCAAATGCTGACCAAGTTTATTGTGAAGCAGAAGACAAGGAATCAGACTGTTACTTTGTCTTTCATCTTAGATATTTCTGAGGTTGTTTTATAAGGCAAAACAATTCAATGACACACAGTGAACTGTAAAATAGAGCAAAAATGTAAAGAAAAGCAAAGCCATATGAGTTACTCAAGAATTAGGTTTTTTACTCACTTCATGTGTTATGTTTTGCTCTCTGTCATTCCAGCAGCCAGTTTTGTTATGGATGCCTTTGTCAGCTTTGTGCCCCTAGGTAAGACAATCTGGCCAACAAGCCTAATCATATTAATATTCTGCTTATATGTTCCAAAGAGATCCAGTTTGTTATTGTGAACTATATGGCACTAAACTGATTAGCCTGCTGCCATATCAGTTGATTAGTCTGGTCAATAGCATTATTAGTCATGATGAGAGACACAAGGACATGCATACATAGTTTCTATCTTTTAGAAGCATGCAATTCGAGTTAAAAAGGCCATGCATACACAAATAAAAGTTAACTAATACATCAGAGTTTTACAATATATATCTAGTCAGTTTGTGCCATAATCTTACTCTTTGGGCATTTTTTGCCTTTATCAAAATATCTTTTGCAATAAGTCCCCCATCTTAAAATATTTTAGAAATGGTGTATAATAACACATGGTGAATTCCAAAAGTGCTACAGCATCCTAAACTGGATGAGTTGTCTGTCTTGAATCAAAATTAGAGTGCTTGAGTAGAGATTAACATAGAGAGGTGACTTTTCTTATATATGAAAATGTACAGAGTCAGTAAATTATTATTGCCCATGCCACACTACAGAAAGGATATTAGGACATATTTTTTCATTGAATAAAATTAGAAATGCTGATTAAGTGTTACTGAAATATCACTATTCCCATGCACATTTGGAGATAAATACATTTTCGTGGTCCAGTCTGAGGATCTAACCATCATTTATGGCTCTGTTTCTCAAAGCATGGTCTGTGTAGATCACTCTCATTAAATTCACCTGCAGTATTTGTTAAATTGCAGAACCCTAACCTCCGGTAGGCAATGGCGGATCACGTTGGGTTGTATCAAATATTAGCTATTATCATTGTTATTATTGTTAAGCTCCAGGGGTTTTGATTATTGAAGTAATGCTTTATCCTATTTAGTAAATCCTTTTAAGATCCCACAAAGCAATAACTTATGATAATAATAATAGTGATAATAGCTGACCTTTTAGTAAGTGATTTTCACATACATGATCTCATTTACTCTTTACAATGACCCTGTAAGTTACATAATTTTTAGTATCTTTCCTTTGAGGAGACAGGTTCACAGAAGGTAAAGTCCTTGCACTCATACAGCAAAATCTGCGGGAGG